ACAGGATTGTTCAACCGATCGCATTCGATGAAAGACAATTGCGCAGCTGCGATGATAATTGTGTACGCGCTCAACGAATCGAGCAGGAGAACTTCATTGAGACCGCGAAAGCTTATTATTTACTGACGATGGCTGATATATAGGTAGTCACGGAAATCCTCTCTCAGTCGCGTCGAAAATGTTCTGACAAAATTGGGACTGCGGTGCACTGACGATTGCGTGATTCAGTCTTGCGCGCGAATCGCTTCCGCGATTTTTGTACAGAGAAGTGCAATTCGACGTGCAATTAAACGAGTAAATAAGTGAGAAATAAGGTTTATCAAAATAATAATTATCTTCTCAATTTCGTTACTTCGCAATTAGCGTTAGAAAAGTGATAGCTTTAAAATTCAAAGATAAACTTTCCCGTGCATTCGATGATGAATTTGCGCTCGAACTTTTAATCCAAGAGCGAACATCAAAAATCTCGATTACGTGATATTTAATCAAAGTAGTTTATTTAAACAGTTTTTTTAATTTTTTTGCTCATCAGTTCTCTGAGAGATCAATTCAGAATCTAGTTGAATTCACTCTCTCAATTGCTCTTAGGTTACTAGTTCGCAGCAAATATCCTCCATGATAAAAATTTAATTCAGATTTGTATCGATAAATTATTTGCAATATTTATTACAAATAATCTGAGATTTTTCTCTACGCGCATGATAACATTTCTCATTCATTTAACACACCGATCTATCGATTCGGATCTCTCTGTCAACAAAATACGATTTGTCACATTTATGAAGTTCTGATTGCCAAGATAAAAATGATAAATCAATTAAGGTAATTTATATACATGTATTATATAACGATTTTAGCTTCGCTGTTTTTTTTTTTTATTTGGCAATTTATTCGGTGAGCAAGACGTAAAACGGCGGCACTGAAAAGTACCTACGCCTACTTACTGACGTACAACTGTGCGACGACGCGTGTATTTCATCGATCCCGTATGTATGTACTTCGCTCTGCCATCGGCATCGAACTGTAAAAATAGTACGGCGGAACGTAGGAATCGTCTCTTCGACACGTTGCGGCCAGCGGAAATAAAACGCGGCGGGTGCTTGATTTGTACACAATGCTCGAGAAGCGCGCGCTGATCGCGTGACTTCACACAGCCGACCTGTTTCGCAGCCTTTCGAAAAATATCTCCCGCTCACATATGTGTATATATATATGTGTATATATATACAGGGTGTCCGACAATTACTTTAAAATCTCTCTTAGGTAGATAGAAGGAGTAAAACTGAGTCGAAAAGTCCTGAACCATTTTTTTCTATTACGTATAATAAAGGAGTAATTGTTGAATAAATCAAGCCAATCAGCGCCGACCTTTAGCCGGGCTCACGTCAGTGAGCCGCGCGGAGCGCTCGCGCACACCATACGTGTGGTTCACACTGACGTGCGTTCGGCTAAAGGTCGGCGCTGATTGGCCTGATTTACTTAATAATTACTCCTTTATTATAAATAATAGAAAAAAATGGTTCAGGACTTTTCGACTCAGTTTTATTCCTTCTATCTGCTTACGAGAGATTGTACGGCAATTCTGGGACACCCTGTATATGTATATATATTTATGTATATGCGACACATATTAGTTTCTGCTTACGTAGTGTATTTTTCGCTGGATTTGCGTGACAACAAAAATTTTCATAACGAGTTTAGTAGATTAACAACGCGATAAAAAAACGCAATTGTCTCATTCTCGGTTGAAGAGATACTATCGAGCGGTTCGTAGAGAAAAAACGAGATAAAAAAACAAAAAAAAAAAAACAAACAAAAAGACCTCGGTAATATATTCAAGTGCTCTAATATAAATACTCTATAAATATTCTATTGTCTTAAAAAGTATACATTATACAGATATAAAACAAAAGCCACAAGAATCCGGAGAAGCAACGTGTCTGCGATCAAAGGATCCGAAGCGAGTAAAGTAAAAGTTGACAAACGCTCGTTTTATGATTGCTGGAATCAAAATCGGTGCGACGATTTTTCGCGACGAGAACGCGCGTTTGACAAAGCAGAAAGACATTTTCGCTTCATGTTTGTTTTTATTTCCCACCATTGTATTGTTCGCGCTATCACGTTTCACCTACTGCGAACAGTTCGTTCCCTGCAAATTCGCGCTTGAAATCGCTCTCGATTTTTCACGACTATTTTTTTTACAGAGATTACTTTATTTTGGCATTAAAATGTTGCAAAACACATTCCCATTATCTTTCGCAAATTTCTTGTTGTATGCTTTTTCTGTCATTGTAATGTAGCGGCTTCTATGTTTATCCTGCTTGCAATTACGCTTGAAAAGTTACTTTTCGTAAGTTTCTTCAAAGCGCCTCGATCGTTGAAAATTATTTTCCGACATCGAGATAAACTCGCAAACTTGTGTAAATATACTCTGAACAGTAGCTCTCGCAAGAGAGAGAGAGAGAAGTAAACGGAAAGAGATTCAAAATAAGAACAGCCATCGCTGAATTGTTATCAGTTTACAAGTTTGATCCAGACATCGGCTTAATTAATTATCTGTGAAAGGAATCTCTCTCTCTTTCTCTTTTCAAATACTTATATGCAATTACTGTCTCTTCAAGAAATAAAAATTGATTAAACAGAGAGACACTATTATAAATGCGACATAACTTTTGAAACTTTTATTAGATCGATATTTAATTAATGTCTTTATCAGAAAAACGTGTTACGATATAAAATTGAAAATGCTCTTAAGAGGATGCTGAAGCGACAATTCAAACTCGGATTTGACAGCGTTGCTTAGCCGCTACGCTGTTCGGTAAAGAGCGACCTCTAGTCGAATCGAGAAGGATAGATGACATGATGGAGACAAGGTTAAAATATATATGTCTTTCCGCTGGTTCTGCTAAAACTATACTATAATTCTAGTTCCAAATTTTTGTTTCTTACAGACTTCAAAGTCTTCTTCCGAAATGCTTAAAATATATTTGTTTATGTCTATAGAATGGAAACCTATAAACTCTTGTGTGTTTGGAATCATTGTTAAGAGGGTACTGGATACCGACTATAGAGAACTGTAAACCGACATTTCTCTTTTCACGTTCTGAGTCACGTATTTACTACCTCAAATCGAAAACGCTTCTCTAGAAATAAGTAAATTGTGCTAAGACAGTGCGCTAGCTCTTTGGAATGTCAAACTTCAACAAAAAGTTTTCCTCATACAGTTTCCTTCAACAACCTCACCATATATTTATGTGTGTAGAATTCTTTGTAAGGTTATGTACATATTTACACTGTGTTAGCGCACTAAGTACGACAAAAAAAAGTCTAATGAAACATTCAGATTATGGTTTGACTATCTAATTGATGAGAACAACGTCATAGTGTGTGATGATGTATATCTGATACCATATACTATCATTATGAATGAAAAACAAGTTCAAAAAAGCATTATATACCCATTTTCAAAAGCTTTATATAGTTTTGTATATTTATTGGCTTCTGTGGAAGCGCTTTTAATGTTGTGCAGTAAATAAAATTAAAAAATAAAGAAATTTAGGTTATAAAAACGTCGGTTTACAGGTCTCTATAGTTGGTATCCAGTACCCTCTTAAGGGGATTAAAGTGAGTCGTATTTTTTTACCGACTAAGTCGACTTTTGGCGTCAGTTTGTAGTAATATTTGCTTAATATAAAAAGTTGTGCAGTTATTTATACGTAGAAAACGAACTGCATTTCGGATGCGGGATAACATAAAGAATAATATAGTCTCAGAAATTAGTTTAGAAGTTTAGTGTAAATGAATAGAGTGTGTTGAAAGTATACAGGATTATTTTCGTAAATATTTCAGCACACTATTCACATTTACACTAAACTTTGAAACGCATTTCTAAGAGCTTCTTATTGTTCTTTATGTTGTCCCGAATCCGGGATGCAGTTTGTTTTCTAAATATATAAATTGCATAACTGTTTTTATTAAGCAAATATTATTATGAAATGACGGCCAAAAGCCGCAAATTCAGTCGGTAAAAAACGACAGCTTTAGGATCCCTTTAATGTTGTACACAAAGTGAAAATATAATCCACTCAGTAACGGTCTTTAAACTTGTTTTTCTTTCTTTATTTTTTTTGTAGTTTTTAGAAGCATCCCATTTTTAGTATATTTGCTTTAAGTCTATATAGAGAAGCGTTTTTCATTACGATTGACCCTTAACCTACACACTTCATAGGTATCACATAGCCTACACATGAGGTACGGTCTACTCTAGCCACTAAAATGATCATCCAACTCACTGAAATCATTATTATAACTTGAAAAAATTTATATACACTATTTGAAGCATCTAAAAAGAGACCTCATAGTTTTTTTAAATGATTTTTCAATTTTAAGTTACTGAAAAAAATTCCCCGCAAAAAACTCGAAAAATGTTTTATTTTACTAAAAACTTTATAACATTTTTAATTTTCAATATTTTTTAAAACTTCTTGTAGGATTTTTCTCTTGAGATGCAACATTTTCAAGAAAAAATTAGTCCTATAGTGAATTTTTCAAAAAGTATATTTATTTTGCAACATGAAATGAAAAGTTTCATGCAAAATCGAAAAACGTAAGTTACATGATAAATGATTCATTATTTCCTTTATTTAACAGTTGTAATCCATTATAAATGTTGCGATTACTTGTCAAAAGTATAAAAATATGAAAACATGAAGATCAATACATTTTTTAGTAGTCAGAATTGAAATAATTTTTTAATCTGTACAAGCACAATCAGTGCACACGGGTAGATTTTACTCCAGGTATAGGTTAAGGGTTAATAGTTTTTACACAAAAAATTGGAACTACAAAATGTAGGTAAAACAGGACGGTTCGGCATTCTCTTAATAACATTGAAAGAGTAGACGATCGAGAGCAATTTGATGAAGCAACTACGGTTTGAAGTTGTTTTTTCGAAAAAGGAGAAAGAAATAGTGAGATTTAGGAAGAATGTGAATTTACAGGACCCACTTTGGAACCCCCGTTACCCAGACGAAAGAAATGTCCGGAACTCGCTTACAAGACACACGAATTTATCACGGCGGCAGACGGTGGCGGTATCGATGCCGTAGACTCGAACGTCGTAGCTGATAAGGTACGGGAGCAATTTAATTATAATTTTAATCCTTTAATGCCAGACTTTAAAAATTGATCTACGAGTTTTGTCCAGAGATCGAGTTTTTGAGACTTATGCGATCTTTTAAGAGCTATTAAACGAATGACATTGTCATCCACTTCTACCATTGTCCAAGGCTCTAAACTTTTTTTCATGACCTTCAGATATCGCGCTAAACTAATATCCAGTAGAAATACCGTTTAAAACTTTTGGGTGGATCTGGGAGACCCACCCACGTCTGACGAAGGGTTAAATATCTCTAATACAATCGAAAAGTAAAAAAAACAGAGATGTTGATAATAAAAAAGTATATCTCTACAAAAATCGAATAAAAACTTTCGAACCGATATAATTCTCAAAATCGCGCGAACGATAAAAAAGATTACGGAGTATGCTTCTATAATCATTCTGTAATGCGCATCAATGGTTTAATCGAGCGTAAAAATATCGACTTTCGCACCGCAGGAAGTTACATCGGCACTGCCACCGAGTCAGCTCAGCAAGGCGATATCTCGTATTAGCACCGAATACCGGCTGCAGTTCGCCTGGCCTAGAAGACCCCAAATGACAAATGGCGAGAACCAAGCGCCGATTCCAGCGGCAGGGGGCCCCGGGGGCACTACGGGCCCGCCGAGGAAGTCGCTCAGTATGGGGGCGCTTAAACAGGGTATGGCGCCCACCGGACCAGCGCCGGTCCACAAGAAGCGACCCGGCGACTTTGATCATAAGCGTGACGGTATTTATTTCGATATATGTTACGATAATTTGTTAACGATAAAATGATCGTGTATATTTTGTTAATACTTTTTGAAAATAGGGTAAAAGACCCAATTACTGTCACCTGAATAATAAACTCTGGCGGGTTAGTGAATTGTTTTTACTACTTATTTATCAAAAACATGTGTTTTTCTTCTTATCTGATATTATTCGATGTCTCTAATATAAGAAACAAAATAATACCGTCTTTCAAAATCTCTATTTTTATTTATAAATGTAATAATTAAAAAAGAATGAAGATGCGAGAGCTATTACTGTCACCCCTAAAATGAAAGAAATGAGACACGAATGTTGAGTGCTGGATTTTTTGTTATATTAATTGCACTTAAAATTCTATGTTAGATTGTTTTCATGCATAACTGTTTAGGATTTATTTAATATTTTAAATAAAATAGCTTAGGGTGACGGTAATTGGACAGGTGACAATAATTGGGTCTTTTACCCTAACTAACTCCTAAAGAAATTTCTATACTTATCGGCTGATCTGATAACTTTTAACGGGTTCATATCGAAAAACGTCTTTCTCTTGTGTGTTTCTTCAGGAGTTCAGGCGTCGGAACTGGAACCACTAGTGGGCGGCATCGGAACAGACACGATCGACGGTGTGGTACCCGAAGCGGATGAACGCGAGGAAGATCTGTCGGACTTGAAAGTCACTTTCAGGTCAGATTGTCGAAGTCGAGTTGTCTCAGTGCAATTTTTCTTATTAGAAAAAAAAATTCGATATTCTTGTACATACAAGAAAATAGCGATAATAATTATAGGGGAAAAAAAAAACGAAATACAGAATGGAAAATCAAAAAAAAAAAAGCATCTACGACGATCCCGATCAGTGTGAAGATGCGATGACGACGCGACGTGACAAGTCACGCGATCATTACACGCAAAATTGATTCTTTGCAGGGATAAAAGGTCAGATAAAACCGTGCGGATATCGGACAATAAGGCGCCGGGCAAATCGCAGGCGAGACCATTTCCCACGGCGGAGGTGATCGAGCTGCGGCGACTCGCTGACGAGTACAAGGTAATCCGCGGGAGAGACGATGATTTGTTTCTGTCGTGTACTTACGTTTCTCGATCTCAAAAGTTCATCTTTTCGGATATTATTGCGATCTTCCAGATTTTTGTCTCTCGTGTATGTATATTCCAGAGGGATAAAGTTCCGAAAAGAGTGGAACCTTCTGATTTTGCTGTCAGATGATATATATTACTGTATTTTTTGGTGTGCTAATTACAAATATGACAGTAAAAATTACCGACAAAGTCATTTTCAAAGTCAAAAAACTAAAAAACTTCTCACTTTATTTTACATTATTTTAATAAATAATTATATTACAAAAAAATGTTGTCAAATCAAAGTTGTAGCCTTCTATTGTTATATTTCCTATTATCTTATTTTTTTCGAAAAGTAGTGGTTCTATACAAAAAATGTATACAACATAAATGATGTATTTTTTCAAAAGCTACAACTTTGATTTGACAACATTGTTTTGTAATATAATTATTTATTAAAATAATGTTAAATAAAGTGAGAAGTTTTTTAGTTAGTTTTGACTTTGAAAATGACTTTGTCGGTAATTTTCACCGTCATATTTGTAATCAGCACGTCAAAATACAGTAATATACCACCTGACAGCAAAATCAGAGGGTTTCGGGCTTTTCGGAATTCCATCTTATATTTCAGACCCACCCAGCATAAATTCCTTTATTCGATCGCTTTGTATTTCTCCGTATTCGCGAGATTACGTGTGCGATCGATCCGATCGTTAGCCACGTCGAGTTTTTCATTCGTCGAAGCGTTTCGTGCATAAACGAACCGACCCTTCACATTCAATCGTCGAAATCATGCATGCTTTGTGTTGTTCTCTCCCCCTCTGTTCTAATAATATCTCCCATAAACGAGTATCCAAGCTCCTCGTGAATTTGCCAAGCCAAAATGCCAAGCTGCCGTTTTGCACACAAGCGGCAGTAGGTAATCATACATCGTGATACTTAAAGTAACACACACCTGCGTAACTTCTGAGTCATCTCGCAATTGAAAATCATACAATTTTACACTACAGCGGAATCTCGAAATAGCGGACCTAATGTATGGGGTTCTGAGTCCGCTGATACAATAAAGCTTGTGTAAAGCAGAGATGCCAGATCGCGCCGGACAGCATCGAGAGTATCGAAGCGGGGTATCCCCACCGCCTTCGATGCTCTCGTACGCATACAAGCGAAAACAGCGTCCGTGTGCGGTTCTCGCTTGTATGCGTACGACAGCATCGAGGCGGTGGGGATACCCCGCTTCGATACTCTCGATGCTGTCCGGCGCGATCTGGCATCTCTGGTGTAAAGCCTTATTTTACCTTCACCCCCTGTTTAAGTTCAGGACCGTGAAAAGATATCGTTTCGCCTGCACACAAAAAAGTACGCTGACATACTTGTTAACTCATAATAATATGATGTAACACAACACAACACAATAATAATTATATATATACAAATATGTGTACACACACGACCCATAAGATACATTACTTGCGTAATGTAACGTAAACGACGCTGCGCTCGCTTTGTGACAATAGGTGCGTTCAGACAACTCAACAGTTGCACAACGGTTGAGAGATAATCACTTATGATTGGATCATACTTTTGGAACCGCAGCAGATTTTGAAGAATAGTCCTATCATAAGTGATGATCTCTCAACCGTTGAGTTGTCTGAACGTACCCAATTACACATCAACTGAGCGATAAATACTCTCTTAAGCTCCTTGCACAATGGAAGGAATAGCGATAGCGATAGAAATAACACAGTTTTAGACACAGAATTCCAACTCGTCGGAAATTTTATCGCTATTGCTTATTCTGATTTTCTGATCTGCATTGACACATGTGTATTTTTGTATGTTAGATTCCGCTGTTCCTACCGTTATTTATAAATATAAACTCTTTGCAACTGGTATTATTTCTATCGCTATCGCTATTCCGTCCATTGTGCAAGGGGCTTTATGTTTCCTAAGGAGAGACTTGATGCGCATGGAAGGGACGAGTCCGCTATTCCGAGGTTCCACACTGTATCAACTATTTTTTCTATCTTACATCTTTTTTTAAATCTCAAGAATATCAAGTTTTAAATTTTTACTGACGATTTACTCGATTCGCGGATTAGAGTGTGAAAAGTGTGAATATATATTTTAAGTGTCTTCCCAAGCATGTTGTCTGTGTTCTTTCACAATAAATCAAGTAGCACCAACGATCTAATTAACAAGTTAACTCATGCGATAACATTTTTTTTATAGAGATATAAAACGTTACTCACTAGATTGCAATTTAACTGTATACATATATATACAGGGTGTCCGACAATTAGTGTAAAATCTCTCGTAGGCAGGTGGAAGGAGTAAAACTGAGTCGAAAAGTTCTGAAGCATTTTTTTCTATTACATATAATAAAGAAGTAATTGTTGAATAAATCAAGCCAATCAGCGCCGACCTTTAGTGCCGGGCGCACGTCAAGAGCCGCTCACGGAGCGCTCACGCACATCGTGGTTCGTTATTAACGTGCGCCCGACCGAAGATCGGCGCTGATTGGCTTGATTTATTCATTAATTACTCCTTTATTATATGTAATAGAAAAAAATGGTTCAGAACTTTTCGACTCAGTTTTACTTCTGCCTACGAGAGATTTTGAAGTAATTGTCGAACACCTTGTATATATTACCAAAGTCGCGCATTAAAATAAAGAAAATGCAAAACATAACTTGTGCATTATTTTTATCTTTTACGGACAGACCTCCAAAATAATTTGACACGACTAGTTGGACGGACTAGGTCTGTGAGACCCACTTGCAACTCTGTACGCTAAAGGGTTTCAATGTTTTAAGGCTTAAGAATTCATATCGCAAGGAACACACTGGTTCATTAATTATATTAAACAATTTGAACAATATAGGAGGATTAATCAAAACTGAAAGCTGTTGATTAGCTGTTGGTGTAACCGTCTTTTACAATTATAGTCTTGTCTCTCTTACTCTTAGAGTACAATATATAATCGCGAAGTCGAGTGGTAGATTAAATTGTCGTGGTAACGACCCAAGTACATAGACAGTTGCTGATACCTTTTGGTTTGCATTAGCATCGCGACTGGGGTTGCGGTCTGGCGGTCGAGGACGAGGCTTCGCTGTGGAAACGAGTCTCCAGTAACCACGCTCTCAACGCCCTATCCCTTGCCAGGCCAGTACACTATACTCCTTCATTTTCCGACCATGAATTCGTTGATATTGTTATTGTTGTTGTTGTTGTTGTTGTTGTTTGAGTCGTTCAATTAGCGCGTACAACTACGTTGGTCCTTTTACGCGGAACGTTTCGTTGAAACTGCGTAATTGCAACGTCATGTATTTAAACGCAGTTGTCATGGGAAATTCTCTCGGCGAAAACTACATTCAAATGTAGAGAAGCAGCTTCTCTGACATTTTCAGTTTCCAAAATTCCGTCGAATCAAATTGACTTTAAAGCAAACTTTGTCGATATTTTACGAACTTTTTTTTTCAGATACAAAAAAGATTTGCAAATAACACAATTCGCGATTTTCGAGACGGGGGACGAAACGTTTTTTCCGGAAATATAAATTTGATCGCATTTTTGACTATAAAGTGAACGCACGAGGCCATCATCTTTGTATATACACATCCGTTTGAATTTCGTATCTCCAATTTTGAAGCTATACGTCGTTTCAAAATCCGACAACGCGTCCAAAAAAAGAATTGGATCTTTATAAGGGAGCTGTGTGCTTGTGTATCACATAAAAGTTTTTAACATCGAACACAAACACACACAAACGCACCAAGACACTCTGCCGCATCCAACGTGTTCACGTCCACGTTTATATATTCATGGTGTGATCACAAACGTCGTTCTCCTCACCACGAATTTCGCAAAAGGAGAACTCGCGCAAGTTTTCGCGAACGTACTCGCACCTTCACACGGGTTTTGTCGTAGTTATAGAGCTATTATATAGTTTCGATGTCTTTTCTGATATGAGTGAGTTTTGAATAATCGATGATCCGACATGATCGTACAACCACCTCTCTCGATCGCTTGTTTTAGGTCGGTTACGAAAGAGGAGAAAGACAAGGAGAACACGAGAAAGGTCGCTCCCATCCCCAGCATGATCGCGACTATGCCACCGGCGGGTCGACCGTCCTCGGTACAGGCTAGACCGATTCACGGAATTCTGCAGGACGACGCTAAAGCGGTATGCAAATGTTGAGTGGTTTGCGCGCTCTCGAAGAATCTACTTTTATCGAGAGCGCGCTTGAGTAGGTATTTCGCGAAGGTAAAGCTTGAAATGATTTTCTTTCGCTATATATATTCGTAGAGAAAATCCGCGAGTGTTATTCTAATTTATGTAATTTATATGAAATTGCGCACAAGGCAATCTCGAAAACACTTAAAAAAATGTACATATTCTTCAAAACCAAAAAAACACCTCAAAGATATTTGGCGAATTCTCTGTAATTGTGTTTCTTTCGTTATATATACAGAGTGTCCCAGAATTGGTTTAACATCTCTCGTAGGCAAATAGAAGAAATAAAACTGAATCGAAAAGTCCTATACCATTTTGCTAGATTCGCAATAGTTACTGAGATTTTAATTAACAAAGATCCGCGAATAAGCATGCATCGGGCTG